CTGTAATGAAAACTCTTTTAGAAAGGAGCACGAAACATAAATACACAAATTCGTTCATTTTGGAATGCTAGTTATGGAATGAACGTCGAGTCAGTTTAACATTAAAGGAAGTTGGAAGAAATGTAGAAGAGAAGGAATGAAGAAAGAGGAAGAAAAAAGGGAAATGTAAGGAATGGGTGGAAGTAGAATAAAGGATGGATGAGAATAGATGATGATCAAAAAGATAAGGATGAAGAAAAAGAAGAGAATGGAAAGAAAAGAAATCGAGAAATGAAAAACAGAAAGGAAAATGGAAGAAGGTACTCATTTTTTTTCTCTATGTCTTTCTGACTATCTGTGTCTGTCTGTCTGTCTGTCTGCCTGTCTGTCTGTCTGTCTGTCTATCTGTCTGTCCATCCGTCTGTCTGCCTGTTTGTCTGTCTGTTTGTCTGTCTGTCAGTCAGCTAGTCTGTCTATTTGTGTGTATGTTTGCCAGTTTGTCTGTCACCCTGTTTGCCTGTATATCTGGCTCCCTACTCTCTGTCTATCTGTCTTTCTCCCTTTCTTTCTTTCATGAGTAATATTACTCTTCATGACAACATAAAACATTAATAAAAGATTAACATCAGCATTGCTAAAACTACAAAGGAAAGGAAAAAAACATAAATATCACAGATAGATATATCGATATCATAAAACATTATATCATGCTATTATCGCTAATGTCACTAATAGGTGTCATTATCCTTGTAATTACTACAGACCCCCAATTAACAGCAGCATCAAATCACTTGGAAAATCTCAGCATCCTTACACGATCTGTTTCATCTCGCATTCTTTTGTTAATATCTTATCCCTTTTTTTCTCTCTCTTTCTTCTCCTAGTAATGATTTCCTTCTCCTACGTCTTCCTCTTATTTTGAATATTTTCGTCCTGTCTGTAAAAAGTTTATGTGGAAATCGGTTCATCATTTTTTTTTACCGTTTTCAGTCCTAATTTATCAGTTTCTTTTTATCTCCCATTCTCCCTCCCTCTCTCTTTCTCTCCCATTCTATACCTTCTCCCTTTCTCTCCCTTTCTCCCTCTCTCTATCTCCCCCCTTCTCCCTTTCCTCACACCCTCTCCCTCTCTCTTCCTTTCTCTCCACCCTCTGACCACCTCCCTCTCTCGCTCTTTCTCCGTCTCCCTGTCTCCCCCCCCACCCCCCCCACCCCCCGCCCGGCGCACCCCTTCCCTACGCCCAAGTATAATTGACCATAACGGAAATCATATGGCGGTAAATTGAGAAGTTTGTGAGGGCGGCGGCCACAGACGGAGGGCTGTTAAGAGATGGTAATGCTACGCAGCGAAAGTGAAACAAAAATGGGGAAATTGCTCGCTGGAAGAGCGGTTGCAGGGAGAGCGACTTGGTTGGTATGCGCGCGCGCACACATACACGTATATACATGCACACCATATATATATATATATATATATATATATATATATATATATATATATATATATTATATATATATATATATATATATATATATATATATACATACATATATACACACACATATATATATGTATATATATACATATACATATATATACACATATATATACATATATATGTGTATGTGTATGTGTGTGTGTATACATATATATATGTATGTATGTATGTATGTATGTATGTATGTATGTATGTATGTATGTATGCATGTATGTATGTATGTATGTATGCATGTATGTATGTATGTATGTACGTATGTATGCATACATGCATGCATGCATGCATGTTTGCATGTATGTATGTATGTATGCATACATGCATGCATGCATGCATATACACCCAGATATAACAAGTGCTAGTCATAGAGCCACGCGCCTTTTCCTCGAAAAAGAAAATACAAAATATAATTCACTTTCAGAAAGGAAAAAGTTTAGTCTGTTGCCCCGCCATAAATTCCCGTCCTTTCCCACACCTCATTACAACCATTAAGTAGCGAAATTGGCGCCAAAAGAAGACAAACAATGCACCGGGAAATTTTGTAAAAACGCTGTCGTATTCATATGAGAAACTGAGGCTGGTGTCAGTCGCTCAATTGACGCCCGAGGTAACCACGAATGGCGCTGATTGAGGTGACATCTGTTGACACGTTTTGTAACTAATCTCATAACTCCATTAGAGGGGCTTCGCGAATCGAAATTGTGAGAGTCTCATCCATCGTTCATGTCGGAATGTTGCGTTCGCGAATGCGTCTGCGTCTGTTCTCATATAATTTAACAAATAACACCTACGAGGCGAAGAAAATCAATTCGAGTTCAAATATTCACCGAATAGATTTTTTAAAACCTGAGAAATCAGGAAAAGAGATAAAATGGAAGAGAAATAACAAATTCACACGAAACAATACGACAGTGACACGAAACGCAAGGGGAAAAGAGGGGTCGCGTGGCCTCCGCCCTCTTCACTATGAGCGGGAGATAAAGGGAAAGGGGGGGAGGGAGGGGAGGGAGGGGAAAAGGGGGAGTCAGAGGGGACGGAAAGTCAGAGAGGGAGTTACACTGAGGGGGGGGTAGGGGCAAGAGGGGGAGGGCGTCACAATATTATGATGGACGACGAGAAGCTGTTTTGTTTATAAACGTGTGCATTCGGCTGCATGTTCCTCGGCTGTGATAATCACAGTATTAAAAAAAAAGAAAATAAAAATCGAGGTCGCGATGAATTCATAAAAAAATAAATCAGATTGCACGAGTGTATGAACTAAAAAGGGGAAATATACATGCATATATATATATATAAATAGATAAATATAATTAATAGATAAGGTGATATAGCATTAACAACTGTACAAATACCTGTACGATTTTTTATGTACGTATGTATGTATGTATGTATGTATGTATGTATGTATGTATGTATGTATGTATGTATGTATGCATGTATGTATGTATGTATGCATGCATGCATTCAGGCATAAAAATGTACATAGATACAATATGCACGCGTGTATGCACTTGAATGCACGTAAATATTCGTATGTATGTATATATGTACTTCCACACAAGCAGTGCATCCGAGGCGTTTCGGGGCTGAAGCGCAAGCAGAACTCCCAATAATGAACACTTTTTTCAAGAACAAGTGATAGTGATGACAGTAATGGTGATAAAGCATGCTGATCGCCGTGATAATGAGGCACTTGTAATGGTTGTGATTAGGATGGTCACGGCCTCACACCACCTATAAATTATCCTCATTGTGAGGGGAGGGAGCGACGCAAAATGATTAAAAATGTTTCGGGCTCCTTAAATCTCGCGGGCGCCGATCTGAACTGCCGGTGATCACATACTTAAAAAGCGATTTTGGTCATGCTTTGCTTGATGGGTGAGGGGGGTGGGGAGGTGGGAGAGAGGAGAGGGGGGAGGGGAGGGGAGAGGAAGTGGGGAGAGGGTAAAGGGAGAGCTGGGTAAGGTGAGAGATGGGGGAGGGGTGAGGTGAGGGAGGGGAGAGGTGGGGAAGGCCATTCAGAAAATAATGCAAAAGATAAAATTACCTTTAGGCAAAATCTCTAATTATAAATACAAAAACGGTCAACCAGTAAAGTATATAACACACAATTTTCATCTCTCGCCCCTACCCCTCCCTCTTTACTTCCCAAAAATATAACACAGCTAGCACCACACATGACACACAACACATGACACACAACACAAGACACATGACACAAGACACACAACACACGCCCACGTTCAACTCTGTATACTCGCTACACATCGGGTGGGGGCGGAGGGGGAGAGGGAAGGGGAGGGCGAGCAACTGTAGGAAGGTGAGAAAGAAAGAAAGAAAGAAAGAAAGAAAGAAAGAAAGAAAGAAAGAGAGAGAGAGAGAAAGAGGAAGGAGGAGAGAGGAGAGAGAGAGAGTGAGAAGAGAGACACAGAGAGAGTGAGGAGAGAGAGAGAGAGAGAGATGGAGAAAGAGAAAGAGAGAGAGAGAGAGGGATAGGGAGGGAGATAATTCAATCTGATTGGTTGAAAATGTAATTATGAGGTTCCTGATTGGCTGACAAGCGACTCCGCCTCCCAGTGCCGGGTCTATGTGGTCGGGTAATTCCGGCTTGAAAGGGAATTCACTCCCTCCCTCCACTCCCTCCGTCCCTCCCTCCCTCCCTCCCTCCCTCCACTCCCTCTCTCTCCCTCCTTCCACTCCCCCCCCCCACTCCACTGCGAATACTATTGAATTGATTGAACGGAATGTCTGCGTGGAATATGTTGAGCCTACGGTTTAAGGCGCGACGTGTAGGATTTCCCTGTTAGCTTATCAAGAACATACGTTGGCAAGTGCGTCCGTGGGTAAGGATTATGATGAATACAACACATACTTAAATATGAAGTTATGAAAATACATGACAATATAAAAAAATATAAAGATATACATATAACTATAACTATAACTATAACTATATATACATATATATATAAATGCATATATATACATATATACATGTACACCTAAATAAATAAATAAATAAATAAATAAATAAATAAATAAATAAACATGTATATATATATATATATATATATATATATATATATATATATATATATATATATATATATATATATATATATATATATAGTTAGTTAGTTAGTTGGTACTTATGAATAAAATGAGAGAGAATCATATAATCATAGACAGACACAGTTCTCAATTTTCGAGTCAGATTTTTTTACGCCAAGGCAATCAGACATTGAAAGAATTTTTAGTGATTAAAACAAACGGTGCTTCCGCTGCAGTTCCGCGCTCACATAAATACATATATAATTTAGAGCATTTCCGAGCCTTTCTTTCAGGAACTTGAAGAAAAATTATTTTGAATCTTAATATTCTTGAAAATGTTCGTACTCGAAATCAGCCTCAGAAGAAAAGGATAAATGGAATGAAAGGAAGAATAAGAAGAAATGAGAGGGTGTGGAAGAGAAAAAGAGGGGTGGGAGAATAGAGTAAAAGAGAAAAGAATGAGAGAGAGAGCTAA